TAGATTTGGGAGCAATAATTGAAGCCACGTCATTGTCGATCGGTGACGTTATGAAGTGGTTTTAAAAGCTTCTCGTTTTCCCTAATTAATAGGACAAAAAAAGGAGAAAGAGGGAAAGGGGAGGGAAAGGAAGGAGGAGTGAAGATAGAATTATGTAACTTCATCTCTCTCTTTCTACACTTTTGTACGTGGTACTTGAATTGTCCATGCAAAATATACCTGGAGCAGGCCAGTATCTAGCCAAAATGCTGCTAAAATCTTTTGGGAAATACCATCAGTAACATCAAAACACTACAAAAATTTAAAATTCAATTAAATGAAGCACAAAAATGGGACAAAAGCACACTTGGCAAGGCTTTAGCTGTTTCGAAATATCGCTGAATTGTATTTAGGACTTCCCCCTCAAAAGTTTTCATTCCTACAGCGCGATGCCGACTCGGAGGAAGACACTGTAAGAGTGATACTAACTTATTTTACCGTATCCATAGCCCAGATATATCACTCATAAATTTGCTTAAGACGTATATGACTTAATGGACCGAAGCGTCTTATCTCACTCTCACCACCAGCCTTCATTACTTTCTCCTGCACTTGCCCATCCTACCATCTGCGCTTCCAGGGTTGACCTGGAACCTGCAATCTACTTGCTGTTTCCTTGCTAAAATACGACAAATCTACTTGTAACGTTTCGTACTTAAACAATTCAGGATTGGTTGGTGCCGTATCCACCATATCCACGATTTTCGCGATGCTGCAGCTTCGACCAATTTGTGTAGTACTTAATTTTTTTCTGAAATTTCAGACTGCGATGCCATGGGGCAGTGACGGTGCCGATGATGCTGAAGCAGCTGGAACGAGCAGCGGCTCTCAGAGTCTACGGGATGAGAATGTTCAAGTGCGAAGTGTTAGCATGACAGCACTTGAAAATCGACAAATCATCCAGAAAAAACGTGGAATTGGCACGGTTGACGAAGATGCCAAAAGTCAGCAACTTGCGCCACACCAACAAATCGGATTTTTGAGGCGGACATTCAGTTTTCAGGCTTGTTTTTCCTGAATTTCTCATTTCCAACTTTTTTTTTCAATTTTCAATTTCACGACAAAAATTGAAAAGAAAAAAGAGGGCAATATGAATCCAAAACATGGCAACATGAAAAATTCAAAAATAGCTTTTTCGCGTTCCACCTACCCTTACCCCTTCCCCGAGCCTTATCCAGATTCCGTTTTCTAGACTTTTCTGAACAACAAATTAAACGTTTTAATGGTTTTCACTATCAATCCTATGCCATGCATATGTCTCTGGCTGTGGTTCAAAATCCGCATCGAGTGAAAAAACCTGTTTCTTGCCGATGTTTTGATTTGTTTCGGTGATAAAACGGTGCGCTTAATGGAGAGCTGGTTTGGATACCCTCTGTATTACCTGTATTACATGGGCCAGTCCAGTTAAATTAGTCAACCTCTGATATTAAAAAATTTTCTTATCTCACTTCACAAAAACAACGGCGATGCCCATCTGTTCTACAGTGTTTCGTGAAAGTAATATTGGGGAAGATGCTTCATTTATTCAAACGGTCCCTGAACGGAATCTCTTTCTGCAAATCAATACGGGTTAGGTGAGAATCAAACCACTCCTCTTCACATCCGGACGTGATCTGCCTGAAAACTGCATCGTAATCCCTAGCGGGCTAGGTCTAGCCTGGAAGCATTTCTGCTGTATATCCGCCTTTAAGGCAGCATATGCCTTTATGAATTGTTTGTTTTGCTTGCCAGTACCATAACTGTTGTTTCTTTTGAATCTGAATTAAAAACTAAAATATTTCTAAAAAACAAGTTTGACGGATTTTTCGATATCTTGCTCATCTAGACTTCTCGAGTATCCAGAAACGAGGAGAGGGAGAACGAGGAAAAGAGAATAGAAGCCAAGTTTTTGTAAAATCGATGTTCCAGTGACTCAATCAGTGTACTCATCTTTTTCTAGTAATGAACTGCAAAGGACCTTTGAAAGCTTTTTTTTTCTTGGAATTCTTGGATCAACTGTAATTCGCAGTCTGCCTAGTTCAGCTGTGCAACTGGTATCTTCTTCAGCTACTTTGACCAATGCTGCTGTCGTTTGGTGGTCAACCTGCAGCTCCTGGCGATCCTTCTGTTTCGCTAATTTGTTTGAAATTAGTAAAGCAGCGTTGACAAATTTCGAGATTAGCAACAGCATAATGTAAATTATTTATTAATTTATTGATTTATTTATTTTATTCCGTTTCAATAAGAGATCATCGAAATTTGACAACTGTTGGTTATTTATTCGAACAAAGTTCTTTTTTTCTCCAGAATTCCCTGGATTCGCTGGAGATAAAATTTTCGATTTTTTTTTTTTTTTGAGAAAAAGCAATCAAAAATAACGAGGAATTCCGGCTGGCTAAAAAAAGATTCAAAAGTTGTAAAAGATATGGGAAATTGTCAGCAGCTGCTACAGCCTCCGTCAGAATCCATTGATCGTTGTTGTTTACAAGCTCATCGTAGTCCTCAACATTCCGGACAACTCTCTCAATGTGTGTTTGTGTGTGTTGATTTTATTCTCTTCATTTCCAATAGTATTATTATAATCGACTGCTACTTGAGAGCCATGTTTTCAACTTAGCGTTGTCAAACTTTACTTTCCACATTTCTAGAAATTTTTACTAAAAGTGTTATTGGAGAAAAGATTTTATCAAAAATGCATTTTTAAAAAATACAGCAAAAAAAAACTCATTGTTGAAACGAAAAACTCATTAGCGAGAAAATCATTATTGTCAGTATTTTTATTGTTTTATCATTATTACCCATTTCATCATTACTTCTGCTATTATTATTATTATTACTATTATTATCATTATTATTGTCGATATTATCAGTGGTACTATTACTGTTATAAATACTGTTATTATTATTGTCGTTACTGTCATTACCAATTATTGTGCATTTTCTTATTCTTATGCAAATGCAAAAACGCGCATTGTCAATTGTTAATAATAATTATTGCTATCTCTATTTATTATTGTTATTATTATCTTTGCTATTTTTGTTATCCGGTCGCATCCTCACGCACACACGCTTCTCATCACGACAAGCCTAGTTATTTCGTAAAAAAAGACCTTATTTTCATTCGATTTGCTTTGA